ACAAAAAGAAGCCAGAGAACAACCTTGAGAAATAAACTAGGAATTCTGAACACATTTTCCAAAATAATGAAAACCACAACAAAGAAAATAATGAATTAAAGCAGGAAACAAAATCACCTAGATGTTACTGAAGATTATTAAAGAGAATGTAAAGAAAGAAAATATTTTTTAAAAAGATGAATTTAACCAACACTTCCCTAGACCTTTCCACGGGCCTAAATGGAGAATGACAATGGTCAATATGTTCCAGACAACACTAATTAGTGTAGAACCAACATCCTGGAAGCAAATCCAAATAACTGAACAAAAATAAAGATCTCATGGCCTTCAAGCAGAAAACCAATTAACTAATTAGACTAAAAACAAAACAAACTTCTTCTGTAATTCCATAAACTGGGAAAAAAACGGGGGAAAAAAAAAAAGTATCCAGAGTAAAAAAAAAAAAGTTGTAATGCAAAACTATACCAAACCAAGTTCTTCTGGTAGTTTGAAGGCAACAATCTCTTTCAGGTTTGCAAGATTCCAGAATATTTACAATTCTTTTATAGAAGTGCATAACCAAGTCTCCAAAAGATTGAGGGTGAGATGTGGTTGGAATTTACTGAGAAGATCCCTCCCTCCCCAAAGAAAAAGTCTACAGTCTGGGTCAACTTAAGACAGAGAGGAGGGAGAAGGGGGGGGGGGGGGGGGCACTTTTAATATTTTCAACACTTATAACTTAATATTCTGAATTACAAATCACTGCAGGGAATAAAAGGAACTGAAAAACAGAAAGGAAATTAAAAGAACAGGTTTGTCTTAAAATAGCCAAGCATTTCAATTACATCCATTAGTCTAAATACTTGACTATTAAACCTTTCAAAAGGTACAGTTAAAATGACACAGAAGGATGCAAAATGAAAAGATCACATTCAGCTGGTAAACTAAAACCCCACTCAGCCGTATTTGTCAGGCAAAGCAAAATATCTGGTCCCCCTCTCCCCCCGCAAAAAAAAGGCATTACACAATATAAATAGAATAGTTTTACACTGATAAAAAGCACAATACATCAATAGTAGCCTGATCTACTTGCTAAATAACCAGGACAAGGAGAAACTGATATGAGAAATTACAGGAGTCGATTTTATCTACGCATCGACGCCGTAATACACTGTTGAATCAGTCAAAAAATATGGAAAAAGAACTTCATCTAATTAAATGAAATTAATAAACACAAATACTACAGCTTTAAAGTCACTAAATCAAGCATCCAAATATATGTCAAAAAGAAAACTACACTAGTTAAATGATCTGATTCAATACGATTAAAGCAGAAACTAATGTGTTTAAGCACAACCTAAAAAAAGATAAAATTAAGTCAAATGTGAATAAAGTTACCAATACAACAAATATGAGTGCAGCCAAAGCTAGAATCAAAGGTAAATTTATAGTCTTAAATATCCTTTTTTCCTTAGGAAAGTAAAGAAAACGAATAGCGGAGATAAAAGTAATAAACATACAAAACCGTCCGACGGCAGGTTTTCTCCTTAGACCAAGAACCAAGCCAAGAGAGAACGCGCGGAAGCACCCCGTCCGGCCGCCTCGCAGAAACTGCTCACGGGACCTCCTCAGCCCCCAGGCTCCTCCCTCCCGGGCGACCTCACCGAAGAAGAGTCGCCCCGAGGCGCTCAGTTCCCGAGAAGGCCCCGCCCCTCCAGGCCCCACCCTCGGGCCAAGGCGGGACAGAACTCGCCGCCCTCTGCCCCACGCCCTAGAACCAGGTGACGCGCCGCCAGTTCCAGGTGCCGAGGCACTGGGGGTGGGGGTGGGGCGCAGGGGTAAGCCTCCCCCAGCGCCTCCTCCTACCCCCTCACCAACACCCCATCCCTGGGGACCTGTCAGCAAGACCGCCCCCCTTTCCAGGACCCCCCGAGGAGGGCAAGCACCACCACCGCCCACCCCTCCACCGGCCAGCGCCTCCCTCCCGCAGACTGCTCCCGGAAGAAGCCTTGGGCTGGCGCCTCCTGGAAGCCTGCGAGCCCAGCTGCGGCGGGGAGCCTCGGCCTCCACCGACCACCTCCGCCACCCGACCCCTCCTGAAGGCCGCCCCACTAGCATGGGAAGATGCCGAGACCACGACAAACTCGAGCTCAAAGAGAAGGGCAGAGGCAACAGGATCGCGTTTCTGTGACAAAGGGACTAGAATGTGAGGATGCAGGGAGACCACAAGTGTATTCTTGGTCTGTATGTTTTCTGAGAACTTGAAATATTTCATAGAAATGCTAACTTTAAAAAATAGAGGGATTTCCCTGGCACTCCGGTGGTTAGGGTTCAATCCCTCGTGGGAGAACTAAGATCCCGCAAGCCAAAAAAAATAAAATAAATAAAAATGGTTTTAATATAAAATGTAACTGCATTTAGCATTTGTATTTATTATTATGTTAGTCCCAAGTGCTGTCAAAGACGTGTGAAAGATACAAGATTTTCCACAGCGGAACCGTGGTAAAAAGAATGAGACGCGTGGACCGCACAGGGGATTCGCTCCGCAGTAGCGAGCGGCATCCACGGAGCAAGGAGGTTCTTCATACGCATCACCTGACAACAGAAACTGCAAACAGCATACCCTTAACTTATAAACTTCTGTATTTTAGAAACAATTGGATCGATACCCCATTTATTACAGATTTCAGCTGTGCCCTTATGGTGCGCCTGTGAACCAAAAGGTTTCCAGAGTTTTTGAGTGGTGCTTCATTATATCTGATGTTCACAAGAATTGTTGGTTGGCACTTTGAGGTATGATTACTCTGAACCAGTAAACACAGTCCTGGCTTTATCGAACTATTTCTATACAAATACTTATACAAAAGGCATTCTTTGTATGAACATTATTAAAGACAAAGAATACCTTTCTATTAAAACAGGTCTTGGCAATTTACTTTAAAAGCAAAATTATTTGTTAGATTGGGGAGGGGGATTGGGATCGACATATATACACTGATATGTATAAAATGGATAACTAATAAGAACCTGCTGTATAAGAAAATAAATTTCAAAAAAAATTGTTAGATTAAATTAATATTTATTTTCTAAGTTAAGACAGCATAATTACCATAGATTAAAGAAGTTTATGCCTAGCTTCATGTCTATTCTGTGAAGTTAAGATTATAATAATAATAAAAAATAAATAAAACTCAGCCTGGGGGGTATGTAGAGATGGCCCATGGATCTAGAGTCTTTAGTTTCCTAGGATCCAAATCCTAATACAGATGAAAATTAGATTAAGAAATATTCCTTAATTAATCTAGGGACAAAAGCACTGTTACTCAATTAAGTATAGTATGATAGCACAGGGAGCATAATATATTGGATAAAACATTACAATGTAAGACAGGAAACCTGAATTTTAGTCTCTGTTCTGCCTCTGCAAATTAGTAAACCTCAGCAATTCACTTAAATCACTAGTCCCTCACCAGTTCTTAATCTAGAATTTATTAGTTTACCTGTATAGATTTCAAAGGAAGCAAATTAACTACTTTTATGATTGACTCATCCTAGAGAACATTCAAAGAAAAGTCACAGTAAATATTGTTTGTAAACATCTTCCTAACAGGAAAAAAAAATTAGTTTTATTCAGTCAGTTGGGAATTGAAGGTAAACTTGAGTTATTCTTACCTTCTACTTTCACTTTAAGAATTCAAATATTTTGTGCTTCCAAGGACAGACAATTCTAAACTTTGCTGTTGTTTACCTGGTACTATACTAACTCTGCCCAGTAGGCTGAGTTGTCAGCCAACCTACAGGGTTTAGAGATGCAGGCGACAGAGCCTCAATAAATTCCTCAGGAAGTTTAGAGGCGCCAGAATGGAATACCTCAAGGTCACAAAGATGCAAATACCAAAATAGATGGAAAAGGGGAGAAACACTGACTAAAAGAATACCCAGAAAAAATTTAAAATAGCTGAAAATACATCTTAAAAGCATCCCACCAAGCAGAAAGACTGATATCTTAAGTAATAAAAAAGAAGAGGAAAAATGTCTATAGATCCTAACTCTCAAAACCCCAAAGAAACTTTACACAGCATCCAAAAAACCAGATAATCTAAGTCGGTAAGCACTTACTAAAGCTACCATGGTGAAGGAACAATATACATATACATATGTATATATGATATGACTCCAAATATTTAATACAAGTTTATACATAAATACATACACAAATATATATATACATATAAAATCACAGTAAAATCATCTAAAAGCCAATCTGATCAAAATGTAATCTGCTTTATTTCTGGATTTTAAATTAATAGATTTTAAAAATACATGTTTCAGTATCAGCATATAAGGATACTACCTATTTCATAGAGTTTCAAAGATTAAAGATGAATCACTAAAACACAATTTCTAAGCCATGAAGCACCATACACTTGTTAGTTAACAGGTTCATAGCAGCATGTTTTACAACAGCCTAAAATTGTCAGCAACCCAAATGTTCACCAACAGGTGATTCAATAAACAAATTGTGGTACTTCAACTATTAAGCAATAAAAAGAAATCACTACTGGTATGTGCGACAATATGCATGACTCTCAAAATATTTATGTTGAGTTTAAACCACCACCCCCCTGCAAAAAAGAAAAGGGTATATACTATCCGACATCACTTATATAAAGTTCTAGAAAATGCAAACTAATCTATGGTGAGAGAAAGCAGATTGCCTGGAAGACAGAAGGGAGTAGGGCAGTGAACAGTCAGAAAGGAGGAAATCTCAAGGGGCACCAGGAAACTTCTAGGGGTGATGAATATGTTCATTATCTTGAAGGTGATGATGGTTTCATGAGTGAAAATGTCAAATTAAATTATAGACTTTAAATGTGTGCAGTTTACTGTATATCAATTATACATCAATAAAGTTTTCTTTTTAAGTTGAAGGTAATATAGATTTGAATAGGTATCCGATTTGTCTGCTCTATATAAAAAACATACAGATCTTTTTTTTCTTAAAAAAATAAACAACTTACTTTGCATTTCCAGCCATTGGTTGGTACTGATTTCATAACTGGTTGAAGACAAAAAGTATGATACCCTTTGTCACACGTATCACACACTAGCATCTTGCTATCTTCTCCCGATTGTCTAAAAAATAAGATAGCATTAATGATGCCTTATCTTTAAACTTATGTTTGTAACATAAGTAATCATGAAAAGAATCTGTCCTGGGAACTGCCCTGTTCATAAATACCCTCCGTCTCTGTTTGGTCTATGCACAGATAATGACAGAGTTAACCCTCTAGAGGATGAGACAGAAATCTTCCAAAGGTCCCTAAAGGATTATCCTTACTGAACGCCCACCTATGGTGAACCCGTTTTAGTCATTTTAGGGTTCCTGCAAAGAAGGAGGGGTTAAGGCAAGATGAATGACACTGATCTTTACTTCTTAAACATCCCATGCCCATCCTTTTTTGGGAAGGAGCTGTAACTGATAGGTGATGCTGCGCGGAAAGGAACAAATCTTGGCATGGTGAGTTGGAAGACACTGTCATATAATAAAAAGAGGATCAAATTTGGATCAGACCTACAACTGTGTTCAGACTTCTGTTTTTCCAGCTGTGTGACTCCTGAATAACTAAGACTTAGTCCTCTTAATTTCAGGTACAAAATGTGAATGATAATCAAAGATTACTGTGAGAATTAAATATAATTCTGGCTGAAGAGCTAAGAATATCCATTAAGCAATAAGTGCTAAATAGATATAAGAATAATAATCTTGTTATAATTATTAAGAATTGTAATTGAAAACCTAAAATCTTCCCCTAAACACTCTTCTGCCCCAAAGATTGGGCCCCTGTCCTGTCCATGATCTCAGCCTTGATTCTTGGCTGTTAATCACTCTCAGGTACTAAGAATTTAATTCAAGAGGAGGGGAAAAGAAAAACTAGGGGATGCAAGAAGAAGAGCTGAGAGAGGAACCGCTGAATAAAACCTGGTGATAAACAGAAGTAAAAAGGAAGATGGGTTAATTGGCCTCCAGTAATTTCTTTTTAATTTAATAAATTCTACATATAAAATTGCACATTTTGTCTCTTTAGCTACATGGAAAGATCTTGGAGGAAAAGCACTCTTTCTTCAAGTTCTCTTACTCCTTCTCAAGAAGAAGCCAGGCACAGATACGAGGTATCAAATAAATGTTTACTGATATCTTCTTTAATTTTTACCAAAATATAAAAGCACGTGGTCCTATTTATTCCACATAATTCTAAGATATTGATGCTTATTGTTATCAAATTAAATTACAAATAAAACAGACTGAACATGGCAGTGGTGGGCATCATTTCTCCTGATTACAAAAGTCCTCAGCCTGTAAACAATTTGAAGACTGCTGTAGATGCAGGTAACATCCCCAAATTATCATGCTAATTAATTAGTAGCATGAGAAAAAAATAATCACAGAAAAGACTGGAGAAATGACCAAAGGATGGAATAAAACCAATAGGAAAAGATAATCCCATTACGAACATTTAAATGCCATACAATACTTTGTTTCAGAATTATGGTGAAAGTAACTGCCTTTCAGATAGATACAGATTTCTTTTTAAACAGCAGACTTAGTATACATTGTTCTTCCTGGAATAGAAACTGAAACTGATCACTGATTCTTTGGTTCACTCTAGTAACTACTTTCCATAGTCAGAGGTTTATTTTCCTATTAAATCTCCTCCCGTCTCCCTCAGAAGAAAAGGTGCTTTTTTTCCTAATGCTTATTTATTTTTAATTGTTAATATCATTCATTTAAAATTGTTGGCAAACTTAAGCTAGCTTTTTAGGCAACCAGAGGAATTTAAATTATTAAAACTGGTTTTTGTTTAGACTTATTTCAAAGTAATATGTTAATAAATATCTAGCAATTTCTAAAGACATGATGAAGTCAGTGTGAATGAATATAGCTGCAGTATGAACAACCTTTATCATATTACACAAACCTTTAGTACCTAATAATAGGGTCTCTCTTAAACTCAATACACACCTTTGAGTTGAAATTAAAACTTACTTGCAGTTCTGGCACACTTTGCACTCAGGACATTGCCAACCTGCACGTTTTAATGGAGTAACCGCTATATCCAGGCACATTCCATGATAGTGCTGACCACAAGTAGTACAAAAGAACTGATCTAAGAGGTCTCCCGGGCTGTCGCACACTGCACAGTTTGCATCTTCCTTTGCTACAATTAACAGTAAAACAACGAAATTGTTGTATAAGAATTTAATATTTTTCTGGCTGTACAGTTTAAAAATCACTTGAAGGGAATTTTCATGGTAAATCTTTCAGACACTTGAAATTATCCACATTGAACTGATATCCAATCAGAATAAGGTCTCCATTAAAACATTATAATATCTTTAATCTAAATTTAATCACATTAAATTTAATCATATAGTTTTGCAATGATTTGTACCTACATCTACTTGAGACCATAAGCAGTTCTTATTTAATTTTATATCCCTAATACCAATGATATGCTGGGCACCTAGTTAATGTTCAATATATGCTTGCTGAAAAGAACCAAAAAGGAAAATATCAACTGAGAGACGCTTTGCAGTGCAAAAATAAACATTTTTATTTGAGTGTTAAATAGGTTTTGAAATTAACAAAATCAGAGACAAAATTAAGAAATGTTAATATCAATTAGATTAAGATGCTTCTTATGCATAAACACTAATTTTTATTCAAGTCAAATAAGGGTTTTTTAATACTGGAAAATATATGAGGGAGAACATTAAAGATGGAAGCTACATATTCATACACAAATATAATACTTCATATACTAATTCTATATTCATCTATATTAACTGCCAGTTGCAAAAAAATTATGGACATCGTCTATCGCTAAACGTGGATTAAAAGGAATGGCACTTTTTAACAGTTCTTGTACCATCTAAAATAAAAAATAAATGTAAGAATAAACTGGCTTGCCAAGTATACAAACTCATGCATATTACAATATAAGGAAAAGAATGTATTCTAAAATCATACCAATTTGATGATATATACATATATGTCTGTAACTGACACTTATGTTCTCAACTAAATGGTCTGATTAGCTGATTGTCCTAGGACTGTTTTAAATTGTACATATGATTTTTTTTTTTCCTCTTTCGCTTTTTGAAGATTTGGTCAGTCCTCTGGCTGTAAGCCCTTTCTACCTGCTTTCTTTCCCCAGTCAAGTATCTTGAAACAGAGTAATCATCTATTCCTTTTCCTTACACCAAGAGTTGGCAAACTGGTTTTGTGGGCCCTAGAAGTCTTTGGCATACAGAGCTTTTGTTTTTATTTTAGAATCCTTTTAAAATGGTAAAAAAAAAAAAAAAAAAAAAAAAATTTGCAGTTTGAGGGCACAAACAGGCCCTAGGTTGCATCTAGACTGTAAGCTGGGCCCCTGGCGGCTCCTCCCCCACCGTTCATCTGAAGCTACTTTAATGAGGCTACCAGTGGCCTATGAAATCCCAAGGTTACTTTTTAGGTCTTACCTTATTTGCCATCTGCAGCGTTTACGTCCACGCCCACACTGAAATTTCCTACCTTGATTGACTTCTATGATGGCAGCTTTCTCCAGATTTCTCCTTAGGCTCCCCATGCCCCCAATCTCCTCCTGCTGTGCTGGCTTTTGTACCTCCACAAGCCCTCTAAATGATGGAGTCTCTTAGGATTTCATCCTCTTCCATCTTTTCTAATTCCCCATGGTTTTTCTTTGTAATCATATCAATTCCTACATCATAAAACACCACCACAATTCCCAGATCTCTATCACCAGCCCCAAACTTCTTTCTGAACCTCAAAATGTTATTTTCAAGTCTTACTGGACCCTCAATAGCCAGGTGTCCTAAAAATACTCAAACTCAGCACCTCTAGAACTTTTTTTAAACCTAAACCTCTCCCTTCTTTCTCGACCTGCTGGGTAAAGAAACTTTAGTGTCACTATTGACCCTTAACTACTCCCTGACCCAACACATCCAATTGGATACCAGTTCTTACTGAGTAAACTTTTTGTATATCCTCTTCCATCTGTTTGTACAGTTCAGTCCATCACACTTTGTCTTGGTAACTGCAGTTATCTTCTCAATGGAATGCTCGCTTAGGGCTCTGACCTCCTCCCTAAATCAGCTAAATATCCAGAGCAATTTTCTAAAAGTGTTATGCCCTGCGTAAATTAAAACTTTATCAATACCTCCTTTCTTGCCTTAAAATAAAAAAATCAAAAATTTCTAGTTTGAGGCAAAAAAAGGAGTGGGGGGGATTATCTCCTTTTCCAACTGAATCTCAGAACATTCACTATTTCCTGGTCAGATCAAGCAGTCTGCTGTGCACGTTAACACAACAGACTGTTCAACCTTTGTGTACTTGTACACATTCTGTTCCTTCTGCCTGTAATTTTGTTCCTTTGTTGTGCCACTAGCCCATTCCAAAGAGGCCTTTAAAACTCTTGCTCTGACATAAACCCTGACTATCTAATGTTACCACACCTAAATGCCCATTTAGTTGTTGATTATTCCCTTCCCCATATGCTTAGAAAAAACTGTTATATAATCAATTAATTATAACACAATACCGTGAACACTTGAAGGGTAGTAACCTTGTCTTTTTCAACTTCATATCCTCAGTTGCCTAGCACAAATCAATTCTTATATTTTAAGCAAAGGAGTTGCTTCTAAAATCATTTTTAAGTGGCTCTTTAAATGACAGGCATTTAGAAGAAAGTATTAATTCTAAAAATGAAATTACATGTATTAGTTCATTTTTTTTAATAAAAATGGAAAAACAGAGCAAAGTAGTTTTCTTAATACTAAAAGAGAGTTCCATATTTACTCATTCAAGCTAAGTACATTTAAAAACTAATCGTTGATTTTTGCCTACCCTCAAAACTTACAGAAACTGGGGCAAGTACTGGACTCTATCAGATTACATCTTTCTATTGTAATTTGCCAGGAACACTATCTAAATACTTCTGTGAAACTTTCTAGAGTTTGCTACTCTGCCACTTCAATTTGCCATGGTAGCTACTAGTCACATGTAGCTATTGCACAATGGAAATGTGATTAGTCCAAATTGAGATGTGCTATACATATAAAACACACTCCGAATTCCAAAGACTTAATAGGAAAAAATATTAATGTCACTATCTCAAAAATTTTATTAATTACAAGTTGAAATATTAACATTTTGGATATACTGGGTTAAGTATGTATTTTTAAAATTAATTTCAAATAAAAAATTTTAACATGACCACTAGAAAAGTTAAAATTACATATATTGCTCACACCATATTTCTATTGCACAGCACTGTTTTATACAGCAAAGCTCATTCTGCAACAAGGTAACTGTGTATCACTATAGCAGAGATTACTTTTTATTCTATGACAGTTTCCACCAATTCCTTGATGAAAATACTGTCATGTTGTATGATTAGTATGCATCATTTAATAAATTGGACACAAAAAAATCCATGTGATATATTCAGCCCAAAAACATTTACTATGCATTATATAAAAATAATAATAGAAAAAAGTTGGTTCCAACCATTTTTCTGCTCTGGGCGAACATACAGAAATATGTAGAAATACTAAAACAGCCTTTTGGAGGGCATGCATTAAGAAGATGACATTACTGGATGGCTTAAGTATCATGTCAGACATAAGTATATGTACATACATATATGTCTGAAAGCCAAAGGGGCGTTAAGCTTGAAGCAATATCAAACGACTAAGTGAAAATT